TCCCTATAGAAAGATGCCAAGTTATAGCTCCAGCCTGTGATGTTTGTGACAGGTCGGTGATTTTCTTAGCAGTAAATAAAGGACCACGCTGTTGTTTTGTGATGAGTGGTGTTGCCATGTGTCAGGAGAATACTATGGGCTGGGGAAACTGCGTAATCCCTGGCCATTCTCCAGCCACAAGGGTCAGGAAGTTGAAAAGATGGTGACAAAGAAAGATTGGTTTCCTGGCAAGCCATGAGTGAAGAACTCAAAGTGCTGCCGGGAGATGCCAGGTCACATGTGGCTCTGGGGCGGGGGAGCCTAAAGAGGTGTTGTGTTAGGGCAGTCACTTTACTCCTCTTACCTTGGAGTCGGGCTGCTCCTCAAAGCTGAGTTTCTGGGTCTCCATATGGCTGCTGCCCACACTGTCCAGCCCCATGTACCCGCACACCCTGAAATCAGCCTCTCCCAAATCCCTCGCTGGAAAAGAGAAGGAGAAACATTTCCCAGACACAGAAACCTGGACACCAGCAGAAGCCACGGAAGCTGGGACCATAGAGCCTGGAGCCAAAGAGTCTAGGCTGTTGCTGCCCTGAGCGCTGGTGGCAATGGAGAGAGAAGGAGGGCTGAGCTGTTGCTGCCCCCCCCCCACTACAGAAAAAGAGGAGCCTGGGTAGCTACCGCCCCTCTGAGAGGGCACAAGCTGGTGACCCTCCCCAGAAGCGCCAGCAGCATCTTTGGGACACTTGGACACTTCTGGTCATTAACCGCCCTGATGTGAGAATGCTGCTTTCCTGTGTCGCACCCTTCCTGCCCAGCACCCTTAGACGCCTTCGACAACAGGCTGCCAGACAGCTTCTCCTGACTGCCCTGCTTCACCAGGGACGGCTCCCCACCCCCCATCCCCATCGCCCTTCTGTCCCTCATGGCTCTGATCTTCCCACTTCCCTTCTCCCACGTCTGTCTCCCCCTCTCTCCAACCTTTCACCTTCCTGTATCCTACCCAACTTGTGCTGCACATGGCCCTCCCCAGGGTGCGCTCCAGAAGCCCCTTGTTCTGCTAATTCTCCTCAGGCTACGTCTACACTGCAGGGGTTTTGCGCAAGAGGTCTTTGGCGGAAGAGTTCTTCCACAAAAACGTCTTGCGCAAAAGTGCGTCCACACCTCAAAGCGCATCGCTTTTGTGAGGTGCTTTTGCACAAGAGAGCGTCCACTCTGAATGGACGCTCTTGTGCAAGAAAGCTCCGATGGCCATTCACAGAATGGTCACCAGAGCACCTGTGCTACGTCAGATAGGCTCTTTTTGCGCAAGAAACCCTGCAGAGCGTCCACACATGCCTTTTTGCACAAGAGCTGTAATGGAAAAAGGAGTTATTCCTTGTAGAAGGAGGTATATCTACACCACAAAAATCTCTCTGTTCTGTCAATTGATTGTAGATTTTCTTGCGCAAAAACGCACTTGAAGTGTGGACGCTCCACGGGTTTTTGTGCAAAAACGGTCATTTTTGTGCAAAAACCTTGTGGTGTAGACGTAGCCTTTGTGTGTAGGATGCCTTCACCTGTGCATCTACACAACACAGTAGTTCCCAAACTTTTCGGCCTCATGCCCCCTTTTTGATTTTTGAGAAACCCTCATGCCCTCTCACCCCCAAGCAAAACTTGTTAAGCAAAAAAAAAAAAGGAACTTGAGGGGGGGGCTTGGTCGACTCGTGCCCCCCCCTGGAATTTCTTGATGCCCACCCAGGGGGGCATGCCCCCCAGTTTGGGAACCCATGAACTAAACAGTGTTGCACATTAAATGCCTCTTCACTTAACTGATGCAAACTGTACGTACAAATTCTGGGGACCGACACCTAAATCTCTTAGGTGTCTCTGAAACTCACAGTCCTAAACCCTCATTTGACAAATAGTCACATCCTGGAGTGAACCGCTTCAGCTGACATCTATGCCCTTAAGTTCTCCTGCACCTTGCAGGATCAGGGCCAAAGACAGTGTACAGCAGTATTTCTTACCCAGTGGTACGAGTACCCTTCAGGGTACCCGAGAGAAGCACGAGGGGCACATCAACACAACTGAGATTTGGAGAACTGAATTTTTGTAAAGTTTATAGCACTTGATTAGTTTCGCACTTTTTACACCCAAAAATTTCATCGCTTGTCGGGCTACGATTGTTTAAACAAATGTATTGCAATGGTAGAAAAAAATTGTGTGTGTCTGAAAACTGTAGGTACTGGGGGTACTTTTTTTTTTTGAAAAAGGGGTACTTTATTTAAAAAAATGTTGAGAAACACTGGTGTCCAGTATTAGGGAGAAATGCTTTTAGGAATAATATGACAAAGTTAACTGGCTCATAAATGAATTCTAAACAGGACATTGCTGACAAAAATGCCCTTGTAAATTCACATGCAAATTGCTATTTAATTCCACTAGCCTTCTGCCACAAAATAAAGATGCATCCCTTAGCTACTCATAAGTCATCACCATCTTTTGTGTATTTGGAGCTTCCCAGGGAACTGTTTGTGCCTATGCACATTACAACAGGAAGGTAAACAGACAAAAAGCCAACAACAAACATTAAGGACAGAATGGAAAAGAACACACCCAAACCAGAAGGAATGCTTTGGGATCAATGTTCCCTCTAATTTTTTCCATACATGTGCAGAATAACTTGTGTTATGTGCATCGAGACATCCTGCTGGCTGCGGGTGCTTGGCTAATCAGCTAGGCAGCACCCGGCTTACAGGGAACACTGCTTAGGATCTGTTTTCTAAAACATTTACATTTAACGAAGCAACAGGGACTTGGATCTGTTTAGTCTGCAGAAGCGAAGAGTGAGGGGGGATTTGATAGCAGCCTTCAACTTCCTGAAGGGAGGTTCCAAAGAGGATGGAGAAAGGCTGTTCTCAGTAGTGACAGATGGCAGAACAAGGAGCAATGGTCTCAAGTTGTGGTGGGAGAGGTCCAGGTTGGATATTAGGAAAAACTATTTCACTAGGAGAGTGGTGAAGCCCCCATAGCAGCAAAACTTGTTGAGCCAAAAAAAGGAACTGAATAGGGCAGCAAAACTTGGTTGGGGGGGGGGGCTGGGTTGCCTCACGCCCCCCTGGAATTTCTTAATGCTCCTCCCCCGGGAGTACACCCCCCAGTTTGGGAACGCATTAGAAGGGAACATGTGTCCACGGACAGATGGGGGCACATGTCCAGAGATGCAGAACTAGAAGCTGTGAGTGTGCCGACCTGAAATACCCATGTGGGACATTTGTCATTCCCCACTGCTATCCCCACTCCAGCACTTGTTGTGTCTTTGCCATTTAGGCTGTAAGCTCTCTGGGACAGGGACCTGGGGTGAAATTCTGGGCAAAGCTCCCTTTGATATGGGGAGGACAATGGGCCAGGATTTCACTGCATCTTCTTTCTTTAGTCACATGCACGGTGCCTTGCATGCTTTGGGGCATTCAGTGAGTGGCCAATGAAAACATTGGGGCGGTGCTGCTGCTCGCTGGGTCAGAGCTGCATGGGGCAATGAGAAACATTTTCCTTATCCTGGAACCCAGGGAAGTGACATTTTCTGCAAAGATTTACCAATACTGAGAATATTTTCACCTGCTGGCCACCAAGTGCAGCATCTCCTACCCTTATGGGTACCTACGATCCTCAGATGCGACCTACATCGGTGCTATTTATGCAGCTCACAGTGATCATAACTAACTGCTGAAGCAATGAAACTCCTGCCATATCTGAAAGGAGTGAGCAGTCACACTGCCATCCGGACGTGACCCTGCTGTCAGTGCCCCTTTCAGCAGAGCCAGGCTTTGCCTGACAACCCCTCCTAAAAGGCCCTGCTGTGTCAATGAATCTGGAGGCTGTCAGACCCTCTCTGTGGCCGGGGCACATTTCCTGTAGCTGGCAGCATGACCTAGCATTGCTACTGCAGGCGTGATGGTGTTTTTCTAGGCTCTCAGCTGGCTGGCTGGAGGGCGGGTGGTCCCCTTGAACCCCTCACAATGATTAATTCATCTGATTGTGCCACTTTAAGGTATGTCTGCACTACAGTCAGACATATGGGGGCAGTTATCTAGTTAGCATGGTTACAAATAACTGCCCAAGCCCACCGGGACCCTGTTTGCATTGTGAGCACATACTGGGTTCTATATTGTTTTGACTTCACAGCTGTTTAGCCTTGCTAGCCAGATGAAAGGTAGTGCAGGTGTGCCTACAAGCAGCAACCACAGTTTAGACATAGCCTTCATTTTGTTTGGATCCCTGAGGCCGAACTCAGTCCTGACAAAAGGGGGGAACCTCTCCTATTGATTTCCATGGGAGTGACAGGGGCTCAGACCCTCAAAGGTCCAGAGCTAGGAGCGAGCTGTGGGGTTTGGATCACCTTCACGGGGGGAGGGGAGGTTGGATATAAGGTTTTGTGTAGGACTCAAGTCAAGGGGTGTGTCCAAACTACATGGCTCCATTGATGGAGCCATGTAGATTAGGCTGATCGGCAAAGGGAAATGAAGCCGCAATTTAAATAATCACGGCTTCATTTAAATTTAAATGGCTGCCGCGCTGAGCCTACAAACAGCTGATCAGCTGTTTGTCGGCTCAGCGCGCTAGTCTGGACGCTCCCGCATCGACCTGAAAGCCCTTTATCGACCTCCCCGTTATGCCTCGTAGGATGAGGTTTACCGGGAAGGTCGATAAAGGGCTTTCATGTCGACAGGGGAGTGTCCAGACTAGCGCGCCGAGCTGACAAACCGCCGATCAGCTTTAAATGAAGCCGCGATTATTTAAATCCCGGCTTCATTTCCCTTTGCTGAACAAACAAATCTACATGGCTCCGTCGACGGAGCCATGTAGTTTAGACGTATCCAAGGGCTCGATAACTCCATCCACACAGAGAGCTAGGAAACTATTCCCTGAGGAAGACCTTGATTCACCTGCCTTTATAGAGGGCAGGGTCCTTAGACCAGATACAGAAGTTCTTACTCAGCTGACATGTCCATTGCCTTTCTGTGAGCCTAGGAGAGGAGAGGAACATCTAATTCCCCCCGATGCATCAAGTAGTAGAGACACCATTATAGGACCATCCCAATTGTTAATGGGTATGTCTACATGGCAAAGAAAACCCCACAGCAGTAAGTCTTCAAGCCCACTTCAATTCACTTGTGCTCATGGGGCTCAAGCTGTTGGGCTAAAAGTAGCAGTGTAGACATTCCCACTCGGCAAACCTGGCAAATGGGGCTCCAGCCCAAATGGTAATGTCTATACTGCTGTTTTAGCCCTTCATCCTGAGCCCAAGCTATTGACCTGGGCAGTGAGACTTGCTACTGTGGTTTTTATATTGCAGTGTAGACATGTCCTAAGTGAGCTTATGGTGTAGAATTCCTCTCCCCTGCTTCCACCCCCACCCACGATAGCTCCCCTCACTCTCCCTTCTGTATCTTCATCCTTGCTCCTGCTGGTGCTGGTCCAGAAATGATCTTTTTCCCCCATCAATTTTTTTGATGTATCTGAACATTTTTTATTTCCAGCCACTATTTTCTTTGAAATTGTTCGGGTTTTTTGGCTGAAAACAGAGAAAATGTCAAGTTTTTGGTTGCAGAAAACAAAATAAATAATCTGTGAAAAATTCCGGTTTTGAACGTTTTGTCATCTTGTCTGAAAACCTGAACATTTTGGCCAAAATGGATTTTTCCCCATGAACATTTCCATTTGATAGAAAAGACGTTTTTCATTCATCAAAAACTTTCATGAACAAATGTAGACCAGCTCTTGGTCCCATCCCCTTTGTCTCCATGCATAGTGCCACCCTCCACGTCCTGACACCTGGGTCTTGTCCACATTCTCCCAAGCAGCTCACGTGGCGCCTCCAGACTCTCCTTAGAGGACATACCCTCTGCCCTTCGGCATTTTTAATTGCCTCAATGTCTCAGTCCTGTGAATGGAACACATGTGGCTTCTTCCCATCAGCTCAAGCCTAGTTCCAGCTGCTTTTCATTGCCCCTACTCCACCCGGTTCTGTGAACTTACTAATAGAGCTGAACAAATCACTAATTTTATGGATTTAACCTTGCAATCTGAGTACATAAACTATGTATTCCTTTGTCACGGATATTTGCTCTGTTAAGGCTCAAGCTCTCGGGCACTAGCAGGTCAGATACACACTCAAGCCAAAAATCAATTTCTGTCTGAAGGAATATGTGCAGACAGCTTTTCTCACTGTGCTCAACTCTGATGATTGGGAGTGGATCAGTGGCAGGACTTCCGCTCTCCAAACACACATGGCTTTCTTCTGCCCTTACCTTTTATCTGTTCCCGCTTCAGTTTCCATCCTGGGCCAGTCAGATAAACACAAGGTGGGGGGCAGAAAAACCTGACAAAACAAAACATCTTTGTTAAGTGAACCCTTAGGGTGTGTCTACACTACTCAGCTTTTAGCAACAAGGCTGTGTTGACACAGCCCTGTCTCTAAAAGTTGGTGTGCGAAAATGCTGTTTGTCGGCACTTTTATCGACAAAATACTTCCACCACAAACAAGGGGGCTTCACTTTGTCAGCAGCAGAGGGTTTCTACCCACAAAGCAACACTTACATTTTCACTTGCCACAGCAAAATTTTGTCACTGATTGGTGGGTAGGGTTAAGCTATGATTCTATGATTCTAAACACCTGAGAACCACTAAAGTTTTGTCAATCCAGTGCAAGTGTAGACATAGCCTAAGGTAAAGGACTTCACCAAGAAGGGTTGTTTCTTAGAATCATAGAGCTGGAAGAGACCTCAGGAGGTCATCAAGTCCAGCCCCCTGCCCAAGGCAGGACCAATCCCAACTAAATCAACCCATCTCTAGGGATGGAGATTCCACCACCACCCTAGGTAAACCCATTCCAGTACTTCACCACCATCCTCGTAAAATAGTTTTTCCTAATACCCAATCTAGACCTCCTCCACTGTAACTTGAGACCATTGCTGCTTGTTCTGCCATCCATCACTACTGTGAACAGCCTTTCTCCATCCTTTTTGGAACCTTCCTTCAGGAAGTTGAAGGCTGCTATAAAATCACCCCTCACTCTTCGTTTCTGCAGACTAAACAAACCCAACTCCCTCAGTCTCTCCTCATAGGTCACGAGCTCCAGTTTCCTTATCATATTGGTCACCTTCCACTGGACCCTCTCCAATGTGACCACATCCTTTCTATAGTGGGGGGCCCAGAACTGGACACAATACTCCAGTTGTGGCTTCACCAGAGCCAAATAAAGGGGAATAATCACTTCTTTAGATCTGCTGTCAATGCTCCTCCTAATGCAATCTAATATGCCAATAGCCTTCTTGGCTACAAGGGCACACTGTTGACTCATATCCAGCTTCTCATCCACTATAATACCCAGATCCTTTTCTGCAGAATTGCTACTTAGCCATTCGGTCCCCAGCCTGTAACAATGCTTGGGATTCTTTTGTCTCAAGTGTAGGACTCTACACTTGTCCTTGTTGAACCTCATCAGTTGGTTTGTATGATTGTGAATCCAGAGTCTTCCTCATTGCTTAACAAAGTGTGAGAGGCTTAGACATGACCTGCTTTGGGATCACTAATGCCAGCATATACCCAGAACAGGTCTAGGGTACAGCTTTGAATGGCTTGCTATCTCTGCAGTGAAAGGGGGATGGTACTGCTGGGAATTAGTCTGGCAAGCAGCTTTAGAATGAAAACACCAATAAGAGAGCTATAAAACTTGGAAGATCAACGTGAGCGAGGGCAAAAGTCATAAGAGTTAGTGCATCTGCTATGTTGCTATCCCAAGGCAAGATTGCATGGGAGATGTACCCAGGGAATAGTGGGTGCCTACATTGCACCCATATTCACATGTGCAGCTATGTGCAAAGTGCACAGTCATGCAGTCTGCAAGGCCAATGGAAGATGCTTGAAGGCCACAGAATCATAGAAACATAGGGCTGGATGGGACCTCAAGATGTCATCTGCCCATTCTCTGGTGCTGGAGCAAGTTAAAGTCTACCTAGCCCATCCCTGACAGATGTTGGGGCCACGATGGGAGGGAGCTCAGTGCACTCGTGGCAAGAGGCGGTCTCACCCCTCCAGCGCTATGCAGGGTACTGGGTTGGTTGACTTGTCATGCGAGGGGGAGAAGCTAAAAGAGCTGCCTTTGCATGACCTAACTCGTGCTGACCCCTTGCTAATGGCACTTCCACATGGTTGATCAGCTGCTGCATTTTCATCCTCCTCAAGTGCTTCAAGAGGTGAGTTTAGGGACGTGCTCTGTGTCTTCATTAGCAAGGGGTCAGCATGAGTTAGGTCATGCAAAGGCAGCTCTTTTAGCTTCTCCCCCTTGCATATCAAGTCAACCGCATCCAGAGCCTTGCAGAGCACTGGAGAGGTGAGACCGCCTCTTGCTGCAATGTCCTTCCTCCTGCCCCAGGCGCCTGTGTTCACAGCCACATCTCTCAGGTGCTCTGTTAGTGGAACATGCCAGTCCTGCCCCAGGGCAGATGGCTGATAGGGCTCTTATGGAAAGCAGACTTCAGATCTTCCCTCTTGGAGTCAAGAGAGAATTTGTTACAGTGACTTTTTCAGCGTGCATTGTGGAAGTTTCAGCTGGTTGAGAACACAGTTTGTATTCACAGCCAGTTCCTGAGACCAATGCAAACAAATCTATAGCCAAAGTTTTGGAAACACATTTTCCTGTGTTTTATTTGGGTTTCCACTGTCTTTGCATTCATGTGAATAGCACAGATTCATCTCATATTGATACCGTGTAACACGTTAGCAGTGAAAACACCAGTCTGGGCGGGTTCCAGATTTTTGGGTCCTAATCTCCTTGGAGATGTGTTTATTTAAACAAGTTAGCTACACTGTAGGACCCTGAATCCTCTTATCCAGGAAAAATAGCACTAGTTTATTTAAACTTTAACCTAGAAGCTCTGTGCCAGCTCGTAATCACTTTTTAGATTTGCTTCTGTTTTTCTTGCCAAACCCACAAAAACCTGCTTCCCAGCAGCCTTTGCACCATGCCTGAACCGGGATGCGCCAGGGCTATGTTTTTGGCTAGCCCCAGTGACGCAGCAGCTCCGCTGCCTGGCTCAGTGCCCCAAGAAGATAACAATCTCAGGGCTGTTTGGGATGGGCCTGAACCAAAATCCCAGATCCAAGCACCTGTAAGCTCTGGAGAAGGCTGGATCTGGACTTGCATTTTGTAGCTGGCTGCCAGAGCTTGCAGCTTTCCTCTGGGGAAGTCTGGATCTCAGCTCTACAGCCAGGGTCTGTCTCTGTGAAAAGTATCCTCCATTGATCCAGTGATGGGAGAGGGAGTCAAAAAAGCAAAACTCCATCCTCAGTACAATAAGGCCTGTCTCAACCTCCTACAGAGAGAGGGGAGTAGAGGAGAGGGAAGGGCATGAGAGAGAAGAGCAGAGAAAGGCGAAGGAGGAAGAAGGAGGGTCTCTCACTGAGCTGGACAAAGACTATGAAACGCAGTGAGGAGGGGCTGCAGCAAAGACGGATTGCCGATGGCTCCAGCTAGCTGTGTGGGGGAGCGGAAATGGCCAGTGGAGTTCCAAAGGAGTCAGTATTCAACCCTTCCCCCCTTTGACTGATCCGTGACTGAGTGTTCGAGCCCAAACCCCCTTTTTGTTGCCTGTCAGAGCAGCGTGTAGCGCAGTGGGGCCCTGATCCCTAATTGGGGCGCCTAGGCGCTATCAGAATTGTCATCATGAATGATTGTACGATTACGACACTGCGGGAAGATGGAAAGGTGAGCACAGTGGGGTTATGTTAGCTCAGCTGCATCATCAGACTAGATAATGAAACCCTAGGGCCTTTGAAAGGGCATTGTAAGAGTTTGGGGTTTGGAAGCTGCTATCTAAAGGCAAATCTCAGAGGGGCTGCTATGTTCATCTGTATCCGCAAAAACCACGAGAAATCCTGTGACACCTTAAAGACTAACAGATTTATTTGGGTGCCAGCTTTCGTGGGCGAAGATCCACTTCATCAAATGCATTTGGGTCTTCACCCATGAATGCTGATGCCCAAATAAATCCATTAGTCTTTAAGGTGCCACAGGACTTCGCGTGGTTTTTATCTAAAGGCAGGGCTGTATAAGAAGAGCTGTATAAGAAGCTGAGCAAATATCCTACCTTTTTTCACTGCCATAGGATTTCTGTGCAACTTTTGCATGCAGTATAAGCACCGTCTGATCAGCTGGGAGCTGTAGGTATCTGCGCACCCCATCCCGGAGAAGGCCTATTTGATCTGGATTGGATCTGAAAGAGAGTCCAGAGTAGTACCATACTGAAGGCAGCACAATGGTTGGCTCCCTATAAACCCCAACTACTGCTTGATACTGCCTCGGATCCAGAGCCACCCTGAGGGGTATTTAATATGGAGACAGCCAGCACAGTCCCTTATCTGTAGGTGGTAGCTTCTGTCCTCCTTTCCCTGATTCTAATGGGCTCACTGTGCACCGGACCTTGGCAATAGCCAGGTGCTATAACAGGCAAAAGCCAATTATAGCCAGGTGCTGCAAACCCCACTCTGCTCACTGCACCGGTGTGATATTGCATATAACAAATGCCCCGCAGCTGTGAAGCGTCCCGCTTCCCTGTGTCAACATCTGCATCAGTGAGACAGGTGCCTCTCTCTGTAAAAGCTGCCAGGGGCCCAGTTTAAAGATGCAAAATAGGGATGTAAGAGAGTAGCAGAGTACTTGACTACCCAGTAAGCCTAGGCTTATCAGACAATCAGTCGAGTACTAGGCTACTTGACTTGCATTCTCCCTCTGCCCCCGCAAGGATCCGGGACAAGCCAGCTGTTCTGGGGGCAGCTCAGCTGCCACTCTGCTCTCTGCCTGTCTCGTGCCAGGTTGGCCCCGCTCTCCCAGGAGCCTTGCTCATGCCCAGCAGGCAGAGAAGGGGTCAGGGCTGCCTGGCGCTATACCAGGAGCTGAGGACTGAAGCCCAGTGGGAGGAGCGCAGCACCCAGGCGAGTGTGGCGTTCCTAGGCTGGGCGCGGGAAGATGTGGGCTCACCTCACTGGCCAGGCTGGCGGTGCTCCGCGGCCAGGTCTCCAGTGGTGAGCCAGGCCGATGCTGCCGGTGGCGCTGTGCGGAGTCCTAGGCTGGGTAGGTGGGGGCAGCGTAAATGTAGTAAAAGAGCCGCATCAGGAGTAGCTCCCGGAGGCTTCCAACCCAATTGACTAATCATGTAGTCGACAGAAATTCTATCGACTACACGATTAGCTGATTTTTCGTTTCTTAACAACCCGAATGCAAAATAGGACAAGAAGAAATCCCATTAGAATGCATTGGGATCGTGAATGTTTCAAAGCTGCTGTAAGGCAAGTCCATCATTCCAATTGTGTGGTTAGTTTACTAACTACTTTCTCCAGCACATTACAACACATATAGGGAAAGCTTATCTTACACCTTGAAAACATTCCCATTCCCACTGCTTCCTAATGGGGAAGCGCATCCTCTTACGCCTCTCTGTCCCATGTTACCACAATAGAGACATTCTGATTGTCACTGTTGTTCTTTTCTTGTATGCATGGCCCTTAAAGACATGTGACCAGCTGCCCTGTGTCTTGTGCAGTCACATGCTATCCAATTGGAGTGGTGCCATTTTACACCCATTCCCTGTATACCAGCATAAATGGTGCTGGGCAATGGTAAATCAGGTGCTGTTATCTTTAGTGATCTCCTCCTCCTTATATAACTGACTCTGATAATTACAGTCTCATTCATGGCAGTGGAGCTTTCCACCATATAATGTGATATCCTTATGTGCATTGTTTAATGTACCTTGGTTTTTACATCACCCCTTTGTACATTATGGATGTTTATGTTAGCTCATAATGAGCCTGGCTAGGAAGCCATCATTCTGGGGATTGGGAACTTATTTGGTTACTGCTGGTGATTGCTCCATGGAAATGTCCCCATTTTGCCATACTGTGAACTAAGGGCCAGGTTCTCCACTGGTGGAAACTGGCATAGCTCCATTGACTTCAGGGGAATTACCCAAGCTGAGAATCTGGCCGGCCAACTTTGTTCCCACAGTAGGTTATGTTTTCACTGATTGGAAGCAGATAAGGCTGGTCTAAATCACACAGCCCTTTGCTGTGTTGTGCTGTGACCTGCATACTGGATGTTTGTTTCGGAAGGAAGACAGGCCATAGAGAAGTTGGAAAAGTTAGGCAGTTGGCAAGCACTGTGGAGATGTCCCGTACTGTACTGCCATCCCATCTTTGCAGGAAGTGAAATTCACCCTGTGCAGAGTTCTAGAACAGAGCCTACAAAGCATTCCACAAAGCCATCTCAGTACGGAGTAGGTGGGTGCATGGACTTTGTGCTTTAATAGGGCAATGGGCCACTTTCTTAAGGGAAGGAAACTGAGAAGGGAGGAAGCAGGAGCTGTTCAGACAGGTCCTCTCATTCCCACACTGACACCTTTTTGATGGAGGGCAATGCAGTGTAGCCAATGAAAATGTACCCATCAGTGGAGGACCATACTGGCCAAATGTGGCAAGAACATAATTTGAACTAAGCTCACGTTTCTTGTCTCCATGCCCAGTGACACTCACAAATGAGGGTGTTCATACACACAGGACCAGGCACAACCTGAATATCTGTGCCATGCTCATGATTGATAAACCTGTATGAAAACTGTATAGAAACTGGTTCCCAGCCTTTGGCATGGGGTCCTCCTTCACCGCAGAGGTCATGCATTGTGTTAGAGAAATAACCTAACATATTAGGGGGTCAAAGCAATGGTGGCCGCATGGTGGAGGCTCAGAACTACCAGCTATTATTAAAAATGTTGTTTTCAGATACACTGCCACAGTGGCTTCCAAGTGCACAGAGCTTCTCACTGCTCACACTTACAAGCTACGCAGCTGTGAAAAATGGGGATATTTGCTTTTAAGGACACAACAGACACTTAGATGTAAAAAGGACGAGCAGAAGCTAGAAACCGCAGATCACAGCTGCATACATGATGCTGTACCACTGGTTAGACAATGCCAGGTGACAGCCAATCCTTGGTGATTTGCTCAAAGGACAAGCTGGCGATTGGAAACTCAGAGTGGCATCTGCTACAGCACAGGGAAATTCCAGCAGTAGCAATTTGGCTGCGTTTTCATTGAAAAAATAATCCATCCGGCTCTCAAATACACTTCACACTAGCCAGAAGCTACAAGTAGCAAATATGTAAAATACCAACCGTTTGGGAGCAACTACAAATCTGATCCCGTTCAGGATTCCAGACCATCTTATACTTATCTCCTGTTGGACTCAAAATAATGTAGCACCTGGACTTCTTAGAAAAACAGAAACAAACAGCAGCAAATGATCTTCATCCAAGAAATCCTGAGGAAGTCTTTAAGACGTTTCACCTGCCAATGCTGCACTTTTCAGGAGAATGCAACTCTCCTGGAAAAGGACAGTGCCCTTTACAGCTTTTAGGAACAACTCTATGCACCGGCTTAAGCTTGCGGACACTCCGACAAAGATTCATTGCCTGGCACTGTGATGCTGGTGGCTCTATCTTCAGGTTGTCCTGGAGACTAGAATAGGCAACACTATTGATACAGCAGATGTCTCCAGCACAAGAATGTAAAAACCTGGAATCTTCTTTATCTGCAGTCCTCCTCTCATAATAGCTCCGGCTGTGTTTTCACTGCACCATCTTTTCCACCACTGTTTCCCCTGGTTTTTAAAGGGATACTCTTGATCTCCTTCTCTCCTTGTTCCCCAGTGTCTTCTATACAGACACTAAGCTCTCCAATGTGTGACTGAGACTCTCAGCAGGTGTATGTTGGCACAGCTTCACTTAAGTCAGTATGGCAATGCTGATTGATCTGGCCTTGGGTCAGCAGATAACATTAGCTGCTGCTTTGTATCTGAGAAATGAGGGGTTTATGGTTGCTGAACCTATTCAGAACCACCTAGTACAAACTGCAACCGACATTCACTGGCACCCAGATGTGCTGTTGCTACTGACGAGGCTGACACGTTGGCTGTAGTTGTTAGTACAGTGACAGTTCTCTGCAGACATTTCATTATTTATTGCCCGATGCCAATTAGCTTCTTTGCCAAAGTGCTGGGGCAGTTCTACTTATCAGATGTTCTCAAAAACATTGACATAGGTTTGCTTCTGAGCCAGTGGTAGGTGCTTCTGAGCTCCCAACTTTGTCCCTGGAAAACAATCGGCACACTCCATTCCACTTATCGTAGTCAGTTAGTCCTGGCAGGTGATTTAATTCATTTATTTATATCTATTTAATGGTTTATACCCAGGCCCGGCCAAAGACAAAGCAAGCCAGCACTTTGAAATAATATTGGCCTCCAGTCCATGTCATCATATGCCTCACATGTAATGCTGAAAACCCAAACTGCAATGTGCAGTTTCCACTTCAGTTTGCCTTTGTGAGTTTTTCCCCCCTCATTGAACCCCGCAAAAAGACTGATCTTCACCTGGGAGAGGCCTCTCTTTGTCCCTTGGCGGAGAATTGGACCCCGTTTTGGTTAGGAACCAGCTTGAAGTGTACTGCATGCCAAGAGGCAGTGTCATGCAGCATGGCCATCCTGTAAAACTTCCCGCGGGCCAAACGTGGTGCTGGCTGACTCTGTTTCTTTCCTCAAGGTGGGTCTCTTCAGCTCTCCATGCGCTGTGCTGAAGATATGGCTTAGCCCTTTGGCCAAGTCGCAACAAAGCGTATACCTTCTGGGTGGCACAAAAAGTAACTAGGAAGGTTCTTCTGCCCTTCATGGGCTTTTCTTTGACCCACTCTCTGGGCCCTGTTCCCACTCCTTTATCCTTCAGTGTCTTTCCAGATCTGGGATAAAGCACTTAACCCCTGGGCTGGTTCCCCTGGAATCCCCAACCTCCTATAGACCCTGGCTCAGGGCTTTCCACAGGAGCCAGACCATTCTGCAATTCCATTCTCCCACTGGTGTTTCACCACCCTTCTATATGGTCACCACTCTTCTATAAGGTTTAGGTGTCTATTAAGTGATCACCTGATAGTTTCTCAGTCCCACCCTCTCAGGCTGGGAAGCAGCTAATTAATTTAGGAACAAACTGGATAATGAGTAATGAGTGGATGCAAACTGTTGCCATTCCATTTGGTAGCATTGATACTTTGCAAATGAGGCTCCAGGGAAAATTAGACACAAAGATGCTGATTTTTTTTTCAGCATCCCAGCCTGGCTTTCAGTACCATGGGTGCAAAATCGTGGGTGCACTGGTGGGTCCCAGTTCAAGTCTTA